TACAGTCAACACAACATTTTAAAGGCAGCTGCTACTTCCGTGCTTCATGTTTTATTCTGCCTTTGTCTTTGCTCTGTTTGCAAACAGTAAAGAAGGTCAAGAAGCTAAAGACAAATAGTATCCCCAAGTACTCTGCCTACTAGCCATCCTCTGGACTTGCTAATGTATAAATATCGCTATTTCCAGCACTGGCAATAATTCTAGTTTTACCCATGAAGAATGAGACCACAGTGTTAAGTTGTTTTCACAATATCAATAAGCTCCAAAATAAAGCAAACAAAACTTTAAAAACAGTGCAAAAACAGCAAACACAAAATCACTTTAAAACCCCCAGAGTTTGCAGGGTGAAACAGAACATTTACTGTTGAACTGGCTAGTAGGGATGAATCCCAAATTCACAGATATTTAGAGATTTTGTTTTTTATAGTTTAATAAAAGGTCTATGCATGATCTAGTCTCACAAATACAAGCAATTTGTGATAATGTCATGCCAGTCGGCACATAAAAACCTTTGCTTTAAATTATAAAAATTGGTGATATTTGAGACTACTTTAGCATAGCTTTCTAAAATCTTTTTAAATGTATACCTATATATAAGTCGCTTTACAAAGTTGCAATTATTAATGTATGTGCCATTCTATGTTCTAATGTCTCTATATATTGGTTATAGTAGTCATTATCAAATTCACTATATGGCTTTCACAATCATTATTTAATGGCTGTAATGTACTTAGACATTATAAAAATATTTTATGTCATTCTAGCTTATTGGAGCCAGTACATGTATAATATGTATCATATACAGGGGTAAGAGTTTGAGCTTTTGAGAGAGACAATCCCAGTGTTGAATTCTCACTTAACTAAAAGCTAGTTGTTCTTCCTTTTTTCTTGGTTTCATCCACTCATTAAAAAAAAAATCTATTGAGCATTTGGCATATGAGAGATCTTGGTTGGATACTAGCAAGCACTGGACTAGAGAAACACAGGTCCTGCCTTCATGGAATTCAATGTCTTGTGAAGAACATAGGAAAATAAACAGAACGCAGAAAAGTGTAGGATGCAATCTATGTATGTACTGCAGGGGCTGGAGGATGGAACCTGAATTTGAAGAGTTAGGGAATGCTTCTTGAAGGCAATGAAGTTTCATGTTGGTGGAAACAACGTGCAGAAGACTTAAGATGGAGAAGCACGGCAAGCACAATGGTTAGGGCACGTGAGCAACACAGTATTCAGAACTGAGCCTGCAGTGAGGGCAGATAACGAATGGTAAAGCCATTAAGGAATATACACTTACCCTGAGAACACTAGAAAAGAAAATAATGAAACTGATGTTTTAACAAATTCCTCCAGAACTTCTTGAAATTCAAAGATATCTACAAAAGTCCTAGCCAACACTGTATCTGGTGGTAAAATATTAAATTATTTCCTCCTGATGTTAGGATCAAGAAAAATATATCCATTATTGCCAATTCTGCTCACGATATTGGAGGTCAGAGGCAATGTAGGACAAGTAAAAGAAATAAAAGGTATAAATATTGAAAGAAAGACGTAAAACTTTTTATGTGCAGCTGACACATTTTGTACATAAAAATTTCAAAATAATCTACCTACAAACTATTAAAAATGAGTGAATTTAGCAAAGTTGCTGGACACAAGGTTAATATAAAAAAGTCAATTGTACATTCAAGCACTTGCAAGTACAAAACAAAATTATAATAATATAATTTTATTCCTATATATTAAAGATAATATACATGATTTTTGATGTGACTGTGTACATATTTTTGATATGACGGCATGTGTATACATATATAAATATATATATTCATCAAAATCATGAAACACCTTAAAATATCTGCAAAGCCTTTACTCTTGAAACTCCAAAGCATTGCTGAGAGAAATTAAAGACCTAAATAATTGAGAGATATTTGTAGGATATATACTGATTCCCTGAATGGACTCAGATTAAGATGTTAGTTCTTAAGCTACTCAACAATTTAAATAAAAACAAAATTAAATATTCAGATTTTTTGTTTGTTTAGGGAGTGGGTGTGTACATGTGATTTTCACAAGTTTATTTTAAAATTTGTAAGAAAATGTGGATGATCTTCAATAGCAAACCCAAAACAAGCAAAGAAAGGCGGAGACTTTTACTACCAGTTTTTAAGACTTAGTATAAAGCTACAATAATTAACAACATATGGGCCAGGCGTGGTAGCTCATACCTGTAATCCTAGCATTTTGGGTGGCATGAAATAGAATAAACAGACCAGAAATAGGCCTACAAATCTATGCTTATTGGAATTGTGACAAGACGCCACTGCAATTCAGTGGAGGAAGGACGGTCTTTCCAGTAAGTTATGCCGAATTTTCAGTTTTCATATGGGGGAAATGAAAAGAATTTTGACTTTGAACTCATACCATATACAAAAATTAACCAAGATAGATAAAAAATTTGCATCTCAAAGGTGTAAATAATAAAACTTCTAGAAGACATAGAAGAACATTTTCATGGCCTCAAAGTAGGACAGAACCGTAAAAGCACTAATCATAAAAAAACTGGTTTTCAGCAAAATTAACTACTTAATCCCTAAAGCCATCATTAAGAGAATGACCAGGAAGAAATATTTCCTATATATATAGAGAGAGAGAATAAAACATATTTATGTGTGTTTTTTTCTTCTTCTTTAATCTTCTTCTCAAATTATCACTACTGTCCATCTTACAGTTTGGAGATTTTGTTCAGCACTGTGTCTTTATAATAGGTTTGGCATTAATTGAGCGTGTTTAGGGGAGTTGACAGAATAAAATCACATTAAAGAAAACTTGTTCATTATTGTAAGTGTGAGCTATTAGATTTTGGACTTATGATCTAAAAATTCATCGTATCTCCTAAATTATAGAGGAAAGAGAAGAGATGGCAATTTACACTAAGATATTACAAAATATTTTTTTGTTTTCCAAAACATAGATATATTCCTATATGCAGCCATTTAGTATAAACTTCTCCTTAGATAATTGCTATCCTTTTATGAATCTGACTGAATGCTACGAATTTATCAAACATTTAGGTTAAAATAAGAATAATTTTGAATTTATTGTATCAATACTCTTTTAGGTTTTGCACTAAAATAGCCATAAAAAGGTATAAAGTTGGGAATAAATATATCTACGGGCACCCGCTGTGGATCCTAAGCCAAACTTGGACATCTTGAAATAAAATGTTGTACACGTTACCATCTGTAACTTCCAAATATGCCTTTGTGATGATGCTTCCAGCAACATTTAAAGTCTGGCAGATGTAATAACCAACATCAGATCGCTGGACATTAGTAATTGTGAGGTCACCAGTCTGGGAGACTGAAAACCGGCTGGATGACTGTGGTGGTTGATACGAGAAGAGCAGATTCTAAACCCAGAAATTGGGATGGAGGAAAATAAAAATAGGTTGTTAGGTTCCAGTATTTTGGCATTTATACATTTACATTTAAAAACATACATATAAAAGTATACATACACATATGCATATTTATCTCTATATATACATATGCAAAAATAAGCTAAATATGCTTCCATCACATGCCCACATATATACACATCCATGCACGTAAATATCTACATATGTACACATATACACATACAATGTTTAATAATCTAACCTCGTATGGGATCATTTGAAAATTTAAGTAACTCTCAAGATTGATATATATGTTTCCATCTGTTTTTAAGCAATACTAGATATGTAAGAATATTCACTATCACTGTAGTAAAAAATGTTGACCTATTTAGCAAAACAAAGACAAAAGTCTTGTTTCACCTATATACGACTACTAGGATTATTAATCCTAAAACCTTCAATATATTCAAGAATTAATATGTAAACAAATTCTGACAAATTAAAATCAAGGATACGATACCATTTTGGCGCCACAATAAGCATTTCTGTTAGCTATCCATTGTAAAAGTTCAGTAACCTATACCAAACTTTTAACACATACCTTGTTTTTCTTGTTCATTGGTGAGAAAATCCTGTTATGGATTTTCTAAAATTCCTATGTTGAATTTAATTAAAACATCATGCTTCTTAGAGTTAGGGTATATGTCACATAAAATAACAGATCATGTTACTGAATTTCGTGAAATAAAAAATAGTAACATTTTCCCTACCACAACAAAATTAATTCTTTTAAAAAGTTTTGGTGCCTTTTAATATACATTATTTTATAAAGGTTTAACTACTATTCCATGGATATATGTACAATGACAACATTTTAGGAAAAAGTGAGTTGGAATATTGAACAAAACCTAAATTATTTGGAAATTTGATCCAATGTTTAAATAACTTAAATGAATCATCAAAATACTACTCCTTTAAGAAGACGTTCCAGTGGATTTACTATTACTGCTACAAAGATTTCCTTGTAAAATGCACTAAAATTCTTCCTGCCCTGTTGAAATATTTCATTCTTTCTTGTCTATAATTTGATTTCAGCAAATTTAGTTCTTTGAGGCCAAATGGAATGTGTTAGAACCTACCAAGTTACTAGAATTCAAATAAGGGCCTATATACGATAATCAAATCAATATTTGGCTACCAAAGGGAAGAAAAGGTGAACTTGATAGCATTTCCTACCAAATCTTAAATGCAGTCAGTAAATGGCCTGTTTTTCATAAGAACACATTAGAAGCAAGACCATGAAACAAACACCCATGATTGATTTAAGCAAAATAAAAAAAGGTCAGGAATAAGTGTTAAAAATGAATGAGAATTGTTTATTTACACATATCAGAGGCAAGTAGAGGGAAACGTTCTGCTTTGTATACTTATTTTCTGAGACAGTGTCTCGCTCTTTCACCCAGGCTGGAGTGCAGTGATGCAATCACAGCTCACTGCAGCCTCTACCTCAGGGACTCCAGTGATCCTCCTGCCCCAGCCTCCGGAGGAGCTGGGACTAGAAACACTCACCACCATGCCCCACTAGCTGTTTACTTTTAATGTTTTGTAGAGATGAGGGCTCACTATATTGCCTAGGCTAGTCTCAAACTCCTGAGGTCAAGTGATCCTCCTGGCTGAGCCTCCCAAAGTGCTGAGATTACAAGCATGAGTCACTGTGCCCAGTCACGTTTTTGTTTTACTGAAGAAGGCTAATCATTAAGAGATGAGACAAAAAGATATTTTAAACTCTTCTAAGATTTCCTGTTTATTAAACTGAAGTCCAATAATGAACTTAAGAGTTTAAAAGAGTATAAATTTCTGTATTTCAGTTTCCATACATATACAAAATTGAAGTTCATAAAAGAGAGTTAGATTTTATAGCAAATGTTGACAGCATGTGATAGTTTTCAACACATTTGAATGTAACACATTATATTTAACACACCATCTCTGTTAAAGATAATTTCATATAGGTTAATGATTCAGAAGGCAGTTCAGACTCCCGAAGCTTTCAGAGAAATCACTGAATAATTATCATCTGTTTTAAATGTACATAAATCTCTTTTAATATATAATTCCAGATACCTGAATAATACAAATAATAATTAATTGGATAATATTGAGAAAAAAGTGTTTTTCTTTTTAATTGTGGCTGAGCTACAAATAAAGGTAAACTTTATATACTACCTTGTGTACCAAAACTAGGTAGAGAAAATTGCTTTCAGAATTCAAGCAGTAAAGAAAATTTTGTCTTCCTTCTCATTGCTAAAATTTTCTGGGCACTCAAGAGATTTCCCAGTCTCTTAACGTGACAGCTGCATGACTAAGTAATATGTTGGTTTCTCTTCTCATACATCCTGGCAACCATCTTTGCTGATTTAAAAAAAAATAGGAAAAGGTTGTACCTGGCTCCCCTCTCTCCTCCAAAAAATAGCTGGTTGAGGATTTCCAGTTGCTTCACACTGAAAAGTTACAGTCCGTCCCAAGGCAACAACCTGGTCACGGGGTTTCACGACAAAATGTGGAGGTTCTAAAGGAGATGCAACAAATTACACTGAATTAAAAGCACGTAGTTATTGTCCTAATTGAGACAATCACTTATATTCTAAGTGCTGCTGTTATTTTATACAGCATGTTATGTAAAACAGTAATGATATACCAATTCTTGTCCTTAATTTGAAACTAAAATGTTAGGTTCATGGTTAGAGAATGAAACCGAGTTGTTATATGAAGTTTTTTATTACCTGACCTTCTAAGATTAACCCACATATTGAAAAGAATTCTGAAGCTACAATTTGACCCTCTACATTCTAAGTATACCTGAATTTTTTATGAATAAATATTATCTTTTCTCCTTTAGATCTGCTTAAAGGTGAATGAGTTTTAATCATACACACAAGGATCTCCTGATGCAGGAAGGTCTTAAAATTACTTTAACTCAAAATCTCCTGAAATGCTACCATGCAAATTATAACCATTTAAAATCTTCAGTCCAATTATTTGAATAGAAATGAATTTAAAGCAAGAGTGGAGTGCAATGCCTCTTTCATTTACATAGGCAAGGGCATGTTCAAACAGAATATATATGGAAATGAGGGCAAATTTGAAACATCTGCTCATCCTGACATTATAAATACTGCCGGCTTTGTCCAAACTGTTTGATTTAGACCGATTTAAACGGCTACTTCATCCAGCAGTAAATAGTGTCAGGAAATTGTGTCAATTGCATGGAATACGATGGTAGTTGAAAACGTTAGGTGTGCTGATGGAGTCACTTCTGGGAAAAGAAAAGGTATTTGCTTTTGGGCTGAGCTTTGGGCTTGGAAAAATGTGCACAGAATGTAAATCTTTTTACCTACTGTTTACACTTTTCAAATCCATTTCTTATCAGCTGTCTGAAACACCTAATTATTCTCCTCTCTTGTCTCAGTTTCAATTGAAGTGAACAAATGCTTCCAGCGACATTTAATAGTTTCTACAGGACAGGGTTTGTCTACTCTACTTTTTAAGACTTTTACACTATTTCTAACCTTCTCTTTAAAAGTATGTTGAGTTACTTAAATCAATCACTTAGGGAAACTCCTTAATGTGAATATGAATGAAATTATATTCAGATTCTGTTCACATATGTCATCAGTCTGCTCACAAGAATATAATTTCTTTGCTAATGAAGGTCAGTATTGAAAAAGATACTTTTCTGTGACTTACAATTTCTTGATCAGTTGTATTTAATATACAGCTATATGTAAAATATATTTTAATATATATAAAATATATAAAGTTATAGATTTTATAAATTTATAAATTTTAATAAAATAGCTGAAATGTCCCTAAATCTGGGTATTTGAATTTACAGGTCATAAAGAAATGTTAAAAGCTACTTAATATGCATATTAAAAACATGTATATATTTCAAATATAAAGCCCCTTTAAAAAAAAAAAGTACATGTAAAACGACTTGATGATTGCATGGTGGCAAAATTGAAGAAAGTAATTAGAACTCCTAGCTCCTAGATTAGTGTTCCTTTTTCTCCACTCTTTTTTTTAAAATTGAGGTTGAGTAGAAATTATAACATTTGACTGGAAAATTATAGGAGACCTGAAAAATCAGGTCAAAGGCTTTCAAACATCCTCTAACTTATAGGGAAGAAAATACAAAGTTAGGAAATATAGTTTAAGTTCAATTTGGTAACACTGAAGTTCTAGCTTATAATTTTTTTAAAACTGTGATTGTAATTGAATGGCTTACTCATGAATTTAGCAAACACTATCATTACCCAGGTATAATAATAGGCAAGTGCATCACTGCTCGGGGATTTTCCTCCAGTACAAATCCATACAGGAGCATTCTATTCCTTAATCAAGGGCTGGAGTAATTGATGTCAAAATCAGACCAAGACATTGAAAGGACTGACTGGATAATAAACTAAATTCAGACTGGAGTTTGATTTGCTTCAGCGAAAGAAATCCAAGTGATTAATCAGATGAAGGGGAGAATATGACTTTTCAATATGCAGGGAATTTGAGTAGGAAAATATAAATGTTCAAACCACTTAGTTAAGTAAAAAACTTCGGGTGGTCTCTTTCCTAAATCTCAGAAGCATGTTTAAGAATGTGTGCCAGAATCTATGTTTCTTTTATAAAATGCCAGTTCTCCTCAGACCTCAAAGACTTACTTGAGAACAAGGAATACAAACCCTTATGCTAACTACACTCATCCTGAAGCAATCCTTCCACACAGGATATTTGCCTGGAAACAAATTTACTGTATTTTGTAGGCATATTCTGAAGCCAACATCAACAGTGACATCAGCCACAAGATATGTCTTAGAAACATAACTTTTAAAAACCCTCTTCTACATGTGTTTTTAAATATCAGTTGTAGTAGACGTATCTCTAAGAAAAAAAATTTAATGGCCTAAATATGTTTCTATCAATCTGTCATTGTTATCTATCTATTTAGATTGAGAAGGCCATTCATTAAAGGTGCCCACTTAATGTTTATGATGAAAGTTTGGAATGTTTTTTGAAAGCTACAATTTTAATTTAAATTTACCATAATCAAAATACGTAATCATGTTACCAAGATCATTTATGTTCAGGGATGAAAATTTGGAAAATTAGACAAAAGGGAAGAAAAGAAAACCTACCCATACTTCTGCCACAGAAATTGGGTCATACTATTAAAAAATCATTTTAAGGACTGTTTAATAAACAATAAGCAAATTACCTTTAATTACGGAACCAATCTCAGTTGTTTTAAATTTAGATTATATCTAATTTTCACTGTTAAAAAATAATGGTAATGTTAACATCCTTCTGACAAGTATAATCAAAATTATTTGCTAGCTGTAGAGTTACAAGGTCTGAAAATATGCAAAGATCCAGGATGTATTAACAAGTATAGCTAAACCATGCTCAGGAATGTTTTTAATCAGCTGATACTTTCACTAACAGCCTACAAATAGCGTTTTTTCCCAACCTCACAAACGTCGAGCATTAACATCTTTGCCAAACAAACAACAGATTCTCCTCTTCATTAACAATTTTCGATTCGAAATGTTAAAACATTTTTCTTCACACTATCTTGTCATTGATATCTGATTTGTTGTGGATATTGTGCTCATGAACTCAGATTTTCTTTCTGATTTCTAAGAACTGTTGATAGGCCACAATTTTAGTCATTTCTCCTATATGTTGCAAATATATTTTCCCATTTTATTAATAGTCTTTCTAGTCTATTTAGGTATTTTTGTTATTGTATCAATAATACATATTATATAATATATAATAAATTATATAAATATTCAACTTAATTATCATCCTGTGCTTTTATATCTTCATTATTTTATGTTTATATCTCATCCTTTACATGTATTTTTGTAAGGTATCACATAGAAACCTATTTTTTCAAATCCAGATATTACATTATTATTGAACAATCCATCCTATCTGTATTACTATGAAAAGTCACTTTTATAATATTATTGGAATTTTTTGTTTTTTTCTTTTTCTGAGGCAGGGTCTCACTCTGTTGCCCAGGCTGGAGTGCAGTGGTGCCATCTAGGTTCACTGCAACCTCTGCCTCCCAGGTTCAAGCGATTCTCCTGCCTCAGCCTCCCGAGTAGCTGGGATTACAGGCGTGCACCGCCATGCCTAATTTTTGTATTTTTTTGGTAGAGACGGGGTTTTGCAACGTTGGACATGTTGCTCTTGAACTCTTGGCCTCAAATGATTCAACCACCTCAGCCTTCCAAAGTGCTGGGATTACAGGTGTGAGCCACCATGCCAGACCTATTGTAACTTTTTAACTTAAACACAGTGAGAGAGAGTCTTTAGGGTCAAAGTTATTCTCTGGCATACTCTTTTGCATATTCATGTAAAATTATCTAAAAATTGCTTTCTCGTGACCTTATAAAATGATTGGACCTTCCTCCAAGGTAAGCACTTAGAAACTTGATGGCTCATTTATTTATATGGGGAGAAATGTTTATCAAAGTACATTTTGGTAAACTTTGGACACATCTTGGGATTATTTCCTACACAAAATGAAATGAATCTGACATACAGAAATGAAAACTAGTGCAAACAGTCCTAAGTGCAAGGCTGTTACTCACCAACAGGACTTTTAATGATTGTTATAGAGCAATAGTTATAAAAACTCAGACAGACATATGTGAATTCACAAATATATTTTGAACCAAAAGAACCTAAATCATTCTCTGCATGTATTTTTGTTTAATCTTATGATATATAAATTGGAACAGTACTTAACCAAGATACAATCCTATCACTTATTTCGGGAGAGAAGAAATAAAAGGATACAGATCACACAACATTTAATTTAATAAGATATAAAGTTAGCAACCCCATTACCTTCACTCTTTGTCACAGTTACCCATACTTCCTGCAGACTTTACTCTGTGCAGTCTGTCTTTGTGGCCAATGACAAGTGAAACATGGAGGCTGATTGGTTGAAGGACATGGAAGGGTATGGATGGAAAGGGGAAGAGAAGTTCCAGTCACAGTGACACGGTGATTAGAAGATGGCCAATAAAATGTCAACTTACCAGACCCAACTAAAACAAAACAAAAAAAGAAAACATGGAATAAATAAAAATAAAGAAACATAAAATGAAACAGAAAAGTAATAAGATTTGACTTAACAATGATTCTTCTCTTAAGATAAAGAACATGTTAATATTTGAATATATGGCTCACACTGTCCATGAATGAGTATTTGTTAGCATTTTAGGTATAATCATGAATAATTTAAGAAAAATAGAAATGAAGCTTAAATTATCTACTATGATTAAATGGCAGAGCTACAATGGATGAGAGCTATAAAATTATAAAACATTTTAAAATAACTTTACATGTTGCTACCAGATGACAGGTTAGAGAACTAATATGTAATGGGTTTAAAAACATTATAAATCTTAGGTGCTAAAACTACACAGAAACCAAAAATTGAGCATTTTAGAAAAAAGAACGTTAAGTCCCACAACTCATCATCAGTTCAATTTTTAAAAGGTGTATACTGCCAACGACATTCTATGAAACTGAAATCCATGCTTCTCATACTCAAATAAGCATGAGTCACCCTGAGAGCTGGTTAAGATACAGATTATGATTCTACAGGTTAGGGGTGTGACCGGAGATTTTGCATTTCTAACAAGCATCCAAGTTTTGCTGGCCCATGACCATAAATTGAATAGCAAGCCTTTAAAAAGGTGCTGCATTTAAATTCTTGCATATTTTTTAATTGAGATAGTGCATAGAAAAAAGTGAATAAATTATGAGAACTAAGAAAACTTTATAATCCTATCTATAAATCATAATTACATTTTCTGTTTTTAATGTTGAAACATTAGGCATCTTATTAGACACAGCTCAAATAATATATATTTAAAAAATGGAAATGGTTATTTTGTTTCTATTTTATAAGCAAATATAATTACTGTCATGTCAAATGCAGAACTTTTTCATAATAGTCCCAGTAGAAATCTACAATATATTTTACTCAAATAAATAACTTTCATAGCTTTCGGCAAATCAAAATTAATTAGACCTGATACATATTCCTATAGTTTAAATAAATGCTGAAGAATGTTGTTGTTAAGTGGTACAGTTATAAAACAAAGATAAAATTTCTCTTGCATACTTTTGTACCATACACAAAATTTAAAGTCAATTTAGAAACGTTTTTAATTCACACATTCCCTTCAACAGGAGTAAAATAATGTCTTTATTTTTCATTACAGAGAAAAAAAAAACTAAGCATAATTTTTCACTCACTCAAGTTAGAAAAGTTAAAAAGAAATTTTCTCATTTACACAGGCTTAATGTTTATTATAGCATCTCCACTTATGCCACCCAGACTCAAAAACACAGAATGGATAGAATGTGGTTACATTTCTTGACACCTTATAGATGATGTGTTTTCAATGACAGTAAGAAATATTTGGGCACTACAAAAGAGAGGACCTGACAAACTGTAACAACAGAATTTTGCTTTGAGATAACAAAAAGTTACAGGATTATCTTTTGGATTAATCTGTGAAAATAAATTTGATCCCATTAGACTGAAGCAGTTAAAATAAATCCTTAAAGTCAGAAAAGTAGAGAAATGACTCCTAAATGTTTTCATGTATTTTCAGTAATTTAAAATTCCTAAAACATTTCAAAAATGTATATTAAAAACAACAAAAAAAATTATTGGAAATCACCTAATTTAAAATTTTTAAAGCACCCTTTTCTTGCTTATAGTTTTTACTAGCAGTCAACCCACAGGAGTAGAATCCTTTTATTAATTAAAATCCAATGGGTTTAAGAACTTTAGACTAATGTATTTGCATATCACATCAATGACAGATGATAATTGAAAAATATTTTAGGCCGGGTGCGGTGGCTCACGCCTGTAATCCCAGCACTTTGGGAGGCCGAGGCAGGCGCATCACGAGGTCAGGAAATTGAGACCATCTTGGCTAACACAGTGAAACCCCATCTCTACTAAAATTACAAAAAATTAGTTGGGCGTGGTAGCACACACCTGTAGTCCCAGCTACTTGGGAGGCTGAGGCAGGGGAATTGCTTGAACCCGGGAGGCGGAGGTTGCAGTGAGCCGAGATTGCACCACTGCACTCCAGCCTGGGGGACAGAGCAAGACTCTGTCTAAAAAAAAAAAAAAAAAAAAAAAAGAAAAGAAAAGAAAAAAAGAAAAACATTTTATAGCCTATTAAGGATCTTAAAAGTTATCTAATAACATAATGTAATATAGAAGCTTCTAAAACATCAGAGGTTTTGGAGAGGAGTCTATCTTGAATGGTCATTTAAGTTTTTAACAACTGATTATCAAGAAATGAATTCTCTTATCTAAAGGAAAGGCTGTCTGTTCAGAATTTAACCCCCCTTTCATTTGTTCTACTTTCAGTAAACAAATAGAAGTCATTAATATGGACTATATAAAATCCTTTCACTCACTTGAAAAAAATTACCATCCCTAACTTTCTCTGCTAAAGAATAAATTATAGGAATTTATTTAAGTTTTCCCGATATTTCTCCTTTCTCTACATTTCTCCAAAGGTCAGGTAAAAGGATTTCCTTTCCATACAGAGAATATGGTCCTTTCTATGAAACAGGCAGATTTTAATTATTGTCCTATTGGACATGGCACAAAGAATCAGAAAAAAAAAAAAAAAAAAAGGCAGAGTAACTTGGAATCTGTTCATTCATTATCTTCTAACATTTGACATTTATGGGAGGCTGTACTCCAACCCTTCTCATAGCCTTTCTCAACTTCATTCCTTTCTGCTTTTAAGGTTGCAGGCACCTGTATCCCAAGTCGGAAAAGCCTGTCCGTTTCTGTCTCTAATAAAACTATAAAATGTGGGCACTGGAAGTGACCTTAGAACTTATCAGTCCAAACTTATTTTGCATGAGAAAACAGAAAACCTAAATTGTTAAAGAACTTTCTCAAGGTCACGGTGGTTCACTATAGACTGGCTCCTAGGCCTCCTGACAATATCCAACTCTCTGTACAAATTTTCCTACTGGTCAATCAGTTAGTGGTGAAGAATATGCAATAGGATACAAAATATTTTTTATTTTTGAAGAATATGCAATAGGATACAAAATACATTTGATTTTAGAAGAATATGCAATAGGATACAAAATACATTTGATTTTGCATTTAAACTACCACAAATAGTAGTTTAACTTAAAATCGTTACTACCAAAATCATTACTACATGCATATACATAAACCGGTTTTAAAGAATTCTTCATGATGGTAAAAATATTTTAAGAATATTCAGCTAGAGTTTTAAAAAGACCTGGAAACTAACAGGTAATAACACAGACTTAATGCTGCTTGAAAAATTTATTTTTGCAATTAAAAAGTACTGCAATCATTTTTAAGGGTAAAACAATTTTAATTATTTCATCACTTGAAATCTTTATATGTTGAACAAAATATCCATCTTTTTTGAAACATCAAAACAGTATATTTTGACAAGAATCCCCTCTTTGTCTCTCTCTGTCACACACACACACACACACACACACAGCCACTACCATGTAGAATAAAATACTTTCTTCCTTTATGAATGTGATATCATAGTGTTCTAAATTATTTATTTGTTTTGAAACCTTTTGTATACTAAGAATATACATTGCTCAGACAGTAATCTTTACGTATAAATAAGATAAGAAGAGAGAAAGGAAGTCAAAGAAAGGAAGGAAGGAAATAAAGGAAAGAGGGAGGGAGGGAGGCAGGGAGGGAGGGAGAGAAGGAGGAAGAAGATTCCTCTTTTATCTTCTATCTGCTTGTCACATTCAGGAGACATGTGTATGGGTCAGAAAGATGATAAATGTTTGGAAAAACATTATACAGAGTTTGGAGGAAAAGACCTTTTTCATCTAAAGAAAATAAGTTAGTTGAATAGATACTTAAGAAGTCTTCAGATTATGTCTAATAAGTATGGGGACCAGCCAATTTTTATAACTACCAAGGCCAGAAGAAAAGACGATAATGGGCCTAAATAATAGCATGAACAATGTAAAGAAAGTCTAGAAACGAAGCAGTTAACAGAAAAGGTCACTGAACCATGAATTGGTTGCCAACTATGATGTCTCTAGAGGTCTTTTAAAATAGGATTTATTTCCATTAGGCCACAACAGTTTAGATATAACCGTGTCTGGCAGAGGGACAGAGAAATTGAATCTTAAAGTGCTTTCTGTGCTATGATTTTAATTGTATGGACATTCAGAAACATTTAATTTTAAAAAAATATAATGACAGAAGATTGCTACAGTATTTAGGTCTAAAATAACTTAAGTATTACAAACTCCTAGATTGACTCTATAGAATATGTTATTGTAAAGTGAATGTATCTACAATAGGACCAATCCTATTAGTAAATATCAGAGAACAGCTGCTTTTTTTAATGGGCTAAAAATGAAATCATCTCAACTTTGGAATTCTTCTGCTAATTCATAGATACAAGTTTTCACTGCTAGTAGCTAAATTCTAATGAATCCTTAAATTGAGGTGATTTTTCCCCCATTCTCATCTATAGTACTTTTTGAATGCAGAGCTCAGTTAACACATCTGATGCACTAGAATTGTAAACACCACATTCCAGAGAATATGAATGGAGTAAGGTAGTGAGTTAAATAAAAACTTTTGGAAGAAACACATTTCTATTCAAATACAAGAACCCTAATTCTCAAGTAGTAAAGCTATCTATATTTGAATTGACAAAATCCAGTCACTGGTATGTTGGAAAAATTATATACATAGATACTCATGAATGACAATATCTCTAACAATTAAAAACTCTCAGGATATTTTAATACTAGGTATGATTTCTTTTGGGGGAAAAGATTGAGTTTAACTTAAAAGCCTGTCGTTATGTCTTTCAACTTTTGAGACATAAAAATAAAGAGATAAAGGAGGCCATTTTTAGAATATATTTAATGGATACATAAAATACTATGAACTTTTCACCTCCACTTAAATATCTCATTATTCTGTAGAACAATGGTTCTGGAGACAATTTTTGCTGTCACAACTGAT